TGGCTACGGGCTGTAAGAGGTGCTGAAGGGGTTTTTAATCGGGAAGTGATACCAGCCAGAAGGATGTCCGTGCGGGTGGTGTCACGGGCGGACTGGGAAAGACGCTTAAGGCGAGGGCCAGGTGGGTCAAAACTGGGTACCGCTGAAGCCGGGTGGCCGGTGTGCATGGAGGGAGCAGGTCTCAGGGTGGACCTGCTTCGGCGGCTGGGTGAACCGAGGTGCCCGCCCCTGCCTGGGTCAGCTGACGGGGGAGTGGCCTGTTTGGCAAGATGACCAAGGGGCAAGCTGGGGCCCGATGGTCTGGAAGGGTCTCTTAGGACCCCTGGGGTGGGGACGAGGGTCGGAGTTGGGTGCAGAGCGGTGGGACCACACGGAAGGGGCGACCTTGGGGTGGCACAGAGGGCCCAGAAGAGCCGGAGGCCAGGACGCCACCCCTGCCTGGTCCGGGTCCGCCCCGCCCTGAGCGCGTCATACCAATCCACACCATCAGTCTCTGCGCTTGGGGCTGGGTGCTGGGGGTGGGGGATAGATAAACGTGAGCCGGTTACACATCACATATCGTGAGCCGGTAAGTGTAATTCACTTACGCATCCTCCAAAGCTTAGGAAATGGAACTCGGCCAATATCTTTGCACAGTAATGCATGGAATCACATTCGGGGTCGGCGATCCCCGGCGGAAGTAGAGCGTGGACTGAGAGGGTGTCACGGGTCCGTGATTTAGTCCAGGTCAGGGTCTCTCACCTCAGAGCTACTGCCATTCTGGGCCAGGTCATCCCGCGTCGTGGGGGGGCTGTCTCGTGCCTTGTGGGACGTTCAGGAGCATCCCTGGCCTCTGCCCATCACACTCCCGGCCCATTTGTGACACCCAAAAATGTCTCCCAGGCGTTGCCTGATGTCCCCTGGTGGGACAGAAACCACCTTCAGTTGGGATCCGTCGGTCCGGAGGCCGGGAGATGCTTCTTGCAGGAACACATCGTTCCTAATCCACGCTCTAGAAGATATGTAAGAATTAATCAAGATGAAACAGACCTAGGGAGCAGGGGAGAGTACTCCGGGCTTAGGTGACAGTGTGTGCTCAGGCCCTGACGTGGGGAAGAGTGTGAAGGGAGACCAGCCAGGGGAGGCATGGTGGAGGTGGGGAGAGGGGCCAGACGCTTGGGGTGCTTGGGAGGGAGCACAGGCCAGGGAGCCTCCCGGACGCGCGGGATGGAACTGTTGGAGGCTGGCGAGTGACATTTGGGCATTTTGGGTTGGAGCCCCCTGGGAGGCTTCCAGGTGGGGCCCTGAGCTCAGAAGAGAGGTCTGGCCAGAGGTACACGTCTGGGAGTCACATGCATACCCATGATGAGTGAAGCCCTGGGGTGGACGAGGCAGCCCAGGGAGAGCAGACGACCTGGAAGCGAGCTCCACCATGTAGAGACTGGGGAGGAGCTCCCAGAGAGGGAGCAGAGAAAAACCGTGGAGCCTGGTGCGGGGGAGAGTCGGAGAGTCGGGGAGGAGGGCGAGGCCGCTGTGAGGTCGGTGGGGCCGGAGTGGCCACTGGAGTCGGAGACCAGAAATCAAGGAGCCCAGTGCCCTGGGGCAGGTCGGGCTGAGGCAACGGGGCAGGAGGGAACAGAGACAGACGGCGTGTCTGGAGAAGCAGAGCTACAGACACCTCTGTGGAGGTGAGAGGAAGCCAGAAAGGGAGGCGGGTCAGGGAAGGTTTTGTTCTGTTTATTTCATCCGCTTGTTTGTTGCCCACCCTCCCCCCGCCCCGCCTTCTTTTCTTAGAAAGTAAACGTACGTGGTGCCGAAAAAATTTTAAACTGCAGAGACTTCCCTGTGAAAAGTCTCTGTCTCCCGTCTCCCTTGGCCTCCTAGCGCTCTCCCCTTCCTGGAAGCAGCTTCACCAGCTTCCTACGTACCCTTCCAGAGACGGTTCTGGCACGAATCAGTAAAACCGTGTATCGATTCATTCTCCCCCCAAGGGTGGCCCACGGGTGCCCTTCATTTGTCGTGTCCCCACTTAGCTCTCTTGGGATGCTTCCAGATTGGTCCCTCGAGTGTTCACGGCTGTAGAATGTGCCACTGCGTGGATGTCGCACGCTTATTTGATGGATCTCCTGGTTTTGGGGTGTCACAAACAACGTCCCACTGAATCGCCTTGTCATCTAGTCATTTTGCAGTAGGCGGTTCATGTGGGATAAAGTCTCGGGAGAGGAATTGAAGGGCCGGAAGGGTGTGTGTTTGGATTTTGAAAGATATCAGCAGACCGCTCTCCATAAAAGTTTAGAAAGATACACTCCAGCGGTGGATGAGGGTGCTCTGGTCCCATGCCCTCTTACGTGAAGTGTTACCGAACTTGTTGACATTTGCCAACCTGGAAGGTAAAAATAGTTTCTCAATAGAGTTTTAATTTGCAATTCTTGGCTGTGTTCACCGACCTGAGAGCCACTTGTGTTTTCTTTACTGTGAACTGTCTTTTCATATATTTTGCCTCCTTTCTTTCAGGTGGTTGGTCTTTTTCTTATTGAATTGGAGGCGATCTTTATATATGAAGGAAACTAGTTTTGTCTAGCAGATCAATTACAAGTGTTTCCCCCACAGTTGATCAAGAAGTTTTTGGCTGTCGCTGTATTTTATTTTATTTTATTTTATTTTATTTTATTTTATTTTATTTATTTTTTTAACAATTATGAATGCCGAGGGAGAGAGTCAACTGAGTGGCGGGTCCCTGGTGGGGAGGTCCCTGAGGAAGCATTGGGGTGAGTTCCCGGTTGGGAAACTCCTCTCTGTTGTGTAACAGGCAGAGGGAGGGAGGAGTCTGCAGTTAGTCCAGGGATGGGGTTGTGTTGACGAGGAATCAGAAAGCTAGCGGGGCAGGAGACTGATGGTGTTAGCCAGAGAGCAGTTGATTAAAAAGCACTGGAAACTCAGCTAGATGCCGGGAGGCAAGTGGATGCATCATGTGCTTTCTTAGACTAACGGTCCCAGTTGTTTATATCTTGCCTGTGATCTGGAGCCTTCCTTATCTCACTCTTACACGCCACATAACGTCCCCTGCCCTGAACCACCGGGGCCAGGGACCAGACAACTGGGGACAGCCCCTGTGCCCCAGAGCCCGCCTGAACTGTTCAAACTAGCTAACCCTAAGCTAGTCACCCTGCCCTGCCTTGCCTTCCCCATGGAAACCCTAATAAAGGCAGTGGCCTGTGTCTTCCCCTCGTTCCTTTCTGCCCCCTGACCAACACGGGTGCTTTTCCATGTGGCCCTGGGAGGTGTAACACGCTCCCTCTCGGGAAATGTAAGTAATAAAAATCTTCTTTCAAGGGCATTAGCTTCTCCGCGTGTCCCTTGGTCACTTCCATACGTTAAAAAACAGTTGAGACAACGGTGCCCCTGGACAGGGACAGAGTATGAGGGTGTGTCGGTCCCAGTGAGGCTCCAAAACTGTCACAGTGTGGGTGGTTAAATAAGCAGGCTGTCCGGGGGGAGGGGGAGGCTTCCTGGAGGAGGTGGCCTGGAGATGAGGAGAGGCCTCGGTGGTGGGGATGGCAGGAACTCAGATGAGGAGGCACAGGGCCGTGGAGGTGGAGGAGGGTGGGCAGAGGTCCAAAGTGAGGCTGGAGAAGAAGATAGGAGAGGGGGGCAGGTCTGATCACGGAAGGGGGAGAAGAGGTAGGTGATAGGGTCCAAGATGCAGGGTGGGTCCTGTGGATACTTGTTGAAAGTGGGTTTTGTTTTTTTTTTAATTCCCAAGAGTACTTTGACTTTGTGTGAGCTCCCTGTGGGGGCTCAGGGTGGGGCTGCTTCTGATGGTGAGTCTAAACAGTGACAGGTGGTCTAACCCCACATTAGGACCAACCCAACTCCCAGGAAGACAGCAGCCTCCCTGCACCTTAGCCTTTTTTTTTTTTTTTTAACATTTATTTATTTTTAAGAGACAGAGAGACAGAGTGTAAGCAGGGGAGGGGCAGAGAGAGAGAGAGGGAGACACAGAGTCCGCAGCAGGCTCCAGGCTCCGAGCTGTCAGCACAGAGCCCGACGCGGGGCTCGAACTCACGAACCGCGAGATCGTGACCTGAGCCGAAGTCGGACGCCCAACCGACTGAGCCACCCAGGCGCCCCCTTACCTTTTTGATGGCACGTTAACACCACCCATCCATGGATGAATTCGCCTCCCCACCTTCACTCCCCCAGCTTGCAACCACCAGCCCCCCACCGGCACCCTGCTCCCACCCTTCAGCTGCTTACACAGCGGCCCTGTTTCCCCTCCTGTCTCAAGAGAGCCTCCACCAGGGTGGTGTTTTCTGTCTCCCCCGTGAACACCCCCTCCTCTCTTCCAGAGCCTCCCTCGGGCTCAGATGCCAGCGGGTTTAGAGCCGCAGAGTGGCATCTGAATTGGGAGAAGCATTCTTAAAGACCAAATAGCCTTCGAACCATGGCGAGCGGGGTGTTAATGGTGGAACGTTTGGCGATGACATTGCTGTGCTGGAGATGGGGGGGCCCTCGCCGATCCACGCTGTGGCACACCACGTGGCGTCTTTTCGGGGAGGGTGGTGGGGAGGGTTTGCCTGTTCCGATCACGTGGGCCTAGGTCCCGGGCCTGTGCGCTCCGGGTGAGCGAGTCCAAAGGGAGTTCATACACAAACACACGCACACAGCCGGCGATTACTCATGCTACCTTGCGATTTCTTTATTGTTGCCCAGGGAATTATTTACCTTTTTGAGAGTGGAATTTGTGGGGAAGTAATGTCGTATTCACCGAGTGCTTATCTAGCTCTTATGAACTCTGAACTGGGCCGTGTGCCGTGGGTCTTAGAATGCTGCCGTGTTTGCTTTGCCTCCCCAGGAAAGACACCGTGTAATGATTCACCAACATGCTGTGCAGGCCCAGCCACCAGCGCCAGCGCGGAGGACAAAGGGAAGCCAGCTGGGCTGTGGTTGGCAGAGCAGACTTCTTGAAAGAGGAAGAGCTCAAGCAGACAGTGGGTGTGGAAAAGGTGTGGAGAGGAAAGGAGGTCTGGGGAGGAGGCCCCTGGTTCTCGCAGTCCGCGGGCCAGCTGTCCATGGGGGAGGTCGAGGGGCAGGAGGATGGCAGGAGGATGGTGATGGCTTCCCTGGGGGCAACAGGTGAGCCGCTGGGATGGGAGGGGACGGGAGGCAGCAGAGTCCCCATGGGCTCTGTCAACAGCGGTGGGGGCGGTGCTGGGTCCCCGCTGCTTGCAGGGGAGCCCCTGGGGCGCCCTCAAGCTAGATGGCCGGGGATGGACTCAGTGACCTTGCCCTTCAGTGAGGCTGAAGTGTCCTTGGGATGCCCCCAGGGCAGGGAGCAAGTGTGTCCCCAGATCGGGGCTCCCTGATGCCTTGTGGGGGGGGGGGGGCCCCTTTTGCAAGTCGGGGCGGGGAGCTGCAGCTGAAATGTGGGATGTTAGTAGTTTGTTTCTCGGATGTTTTGGGGACACATCCTCTCTAGAACCTGACCGATGGTTTACAAACCAAAACAAAATGGCAGTGATAAAAAAAAAGAAAAGAAGAGAAAAAAGGAAATTGTGTGAAGGAGGATGAAACATTTGGCTTAACCATGAAGCTGGAGAGAGGATGTGGGAGGGAGAAAGTGAGAGCCCTGCTGCCCTTCCCCCTCCTCCCTCCTCCCTCCTCCCTGCAGTCAGGCTTGGCTTAATCACTGTCCTCCTGGACGAGTTCCTCTGAGTCCAGCTGATGCTTGAGCGTTGGAATGTTGCTCAGCAAGCCTGGGGGCTTCCTGACTTACCCCAGGACCACCGTGCTGTGTGATCCTGGGTAAGCGGCCGACGTCTCTGGGTCTGGGTTTCACACCGGGCATCTCTTCTAGAGAAATTTTGCCCTTTGGATGCCTTTGCTTGCCGTCCTCAGGGTTTCCTTAAGACTCTGAAAAGAGCAGAAGAGGGGTCTGAGGAAGTGAATTCCCCGGGGCGGGGGACGGGGGGGGGGCCAGCCGGGCCGGTTTGGGGGGGCTCTTGGGCCAGGCTGGGCCAGATAGGCCTCCACCCCGCCTGCCTGGGTGTGCTGAGTGGGAACACCCACGCTTCATTGTCCCAAGGCCTCAGATTTGACTTTCAAAGGAAAAGCACCCCTCCTGGTAAGGTGGGCCTCGTTCCATTACAGCCGGCTTTGTTTGGGCTCCAGGGCGTGAGGAGGACAGGCCTCTGTGGGTGACATTGTCCCTGCAGTGGGTGAGCAAAAGCGCTTTGTGCCTTCAGCACCGCAAACCAGGCACCTGCCGCTGCGGGCAGGTAGGCTGCCTCCCGTTTTCTCATGCTGGGATGAGGAAACTGAGGCACAGGCAGGACACGCGGCGTGTGCAGGGTCTCTTGGGCCTCCCAGGGACAGCTCAGTCAGACGTGCACCAGGTCTTTGGACTCCTTGCCCTTGTCGTCTTCCCAAAAACCGTTTAGGATGGGCCCTAACGCGCCCGGGTTCTCTGCCCTGATTTCTCCCCCATGAGCACCAGCTGCTGCCCAGTGCCCGTGGAAGCGGACTCACTTTGCTCCGGGAGGAAGATCTGGGCCTCTGTGTGGAAAGTGAGGGGACAGAAATTTCCTCCCATAATTTCAGCTAATCCCGGCGCCACCTCCCCCTCTCCCCGGTGTCCTGGAATGTACCTTCGGCCCTTCCTTCAAAGCCCAAACAAATGAATCTGTAATGGTGAAATTCACCGTGTTGAGGCGACCACTTTTCTACCTCCCCACACAGATGCAGCCCAGTGTGACATCCCTGGGCCAAGAAGCAAGAGAGACCTTTTGACGGGGCTTGCTGCTTCACGGTGCTCTGTGGGACGCCGTGGGGACATGTGCAGGGGAGACGTGTTTGAAGCACGAAAATGATCGTTTTCTTCTCACTGTTCACGTAGAGGCCTGGTGTCCCCCCCCCCCCCCCGTCGGACCCCCCCCCCGGGCAAAGTGAATCATTTTCAACACCAACCAGTGGCTGCAGGGGCTTTTGGGAGCAGGCAGGGATGGCCGGGGTCAGGGACAGACGCAGCCAGAATCCCCCCCTTCCCACCTTCACCCGCTCGCTGGTTCCTCGCCGCGGACTCTGGTGGCCCAGTTGGGTTCTGGGCAGACCTGAGGGCAGGGGCGCAGGCCAGCTGGGGCCTCAGAGGCGGTCCAGCAGCGGAAGTCCAGAGAAGGTGGGGGGTTGCCGTTTCCACCGTCCTGAGCGCTGACTGCACAGTTGTGGGGGCTGATCTGGAAGGACCTCTTATTCCCATTTTCAGGGGCTTTTGACGAATGCATTTTGCCTCGGCCCTTGAAAAAAGCCTGTGCTTAACAATGCTAGAATAAGGACCTGTGGCACAGGTCAGCCCGTGGGGCTCTGAATCCACCGTATTCAAATATTGTGAAATGTATTGGCTAGGATGTGGGGTTAGCAGGAAAAATAACGTTCCAGTGAGGAGGAAGGAAGGTCAGCTTTGCAATCTACCTTGTAGCCCACGGCAGGCCGGGGGAGGAACGTCCTCCGTCGGGTCGGCATAAATTCGGGGGCACCACTGAACCCCTGCTGTGCACCAAGCCCGAACCGGGCCGGAGAGGTAGTCACTCTGGGGGTTGTGAAAGCGCCCCCGCCCCCAGGGGCATAGGGTCAAAGCCCAGTGGAGCATACACTGCCCATAAGGGCTTGGAATAGACCAAGGGACTTCGAATCAACATCGTCCCCATTTTACAGAGGAGGAGAGTGAGGCCCGGAGAGGCTCCGGGGCTCAAAGCCAGGTGCGTCTGACTCCCACATCACCGATGGGAACGACTGCGTGTGACGGAGGCTCCTGCCCATCGGAGCTCCTCGGTGGCTATGGGGCCACGTAGAAGCCATACCCTTTCCTGACTGGGCCCTCTGTCCTTCTCTGACCCTCAGCGTCGTCTGGTCTCAGCTGAGGGTTTGGGCACACGCCAGCCGCCTCCCCATCGCCCTGCCCAGTCCCTGCGACCGTCTTCCTTCTGCCGGGTCACACTTCCCTGGCTCCTTGCTGCCTCTGGCCATTTGCCTGGCACCCGGGGGCTGTGTTCCCTGGGTAGTAATTCCATGGACTTGTTTTCCCACCAGTTCAATCAGTCAACAGCTCCCCCCACCGCCCCAGGCCCAGTGGGGGATGATCACGATTGCTAAGGAAGGCAGCTCACGAATTCTGAGCAGCTGAGGAAGGAGTCGGGGAGGGAGGTGGCTTTGAGCTACCTGGCGCAGAGTGGGGCTGCAGCCAGCGGTGCGGGGTCTGGGCCTCCTCCCCGTGCCCCCCTGCCACCCTCATTCCTTCCCCTCCTGCACCTCTTGTCTCTCTGAACCCTGCACCGCCAGGATGCCGGCCCACATTCCTGCCCTGGGCCTTTGCTTTATAGTCCCCGTCCCTGGGGGCACTCTTCTCTCCTCTGCCAGGCCACCCTTCCCCTCTCAAGCTCGGCTTCCCCTGGGAACCTTCCCTCACTACCCGACACCCTTGCTCTGGGCCCCTTCTCTGAACTCCCCTACCGCACTGGGCAGATCTTTTCTGAGCTCTCCCTAGCAGGTCAGGCGCTGGTTTCTGGGACTCGCCGTCCAGGAGGGAGGCGGATGTGCTGTCCCCGGAGCACCCGTGCAGCAGGACTGGCAGAGGAGGCCCAGGGCAGATGGGAGGTGAGGGGCTGGCGTCTGAGGGGCTCAGGTGGACGCTGAAGGGGAGATAGAATTTTCCAGGCCATCTGCCTGCGGAGGGAGCCGCGCACAGAGAGGCGTGGCGGGGTGGTCAGATGACGATGCGAGTGTGGATATGTGGCCTTCGAGGTAGCTGTGAATCCCCAGGGGGGTGTATCCGGGAGGCGGGTGGCCCCTCAGAGAAGTCTGTCTCCTTCCTTCCTATCGATCCTTCAAAATATTATGAAATGTGTCCCCAGAAAGAAGGGGTCTCTGAGGGCAGCCGTAATTTCTCCTACTCTGCCCAGCAGGGGCTGAGTCATGGGCACCTGCTCACTGGGCACGCACTTTCCACCTGCACACTTTCCACCTTCTCCTGCGGACACTGGTCCCCAGCTCCCCGTACTTCTGCTCACTTTGGGCTCTGAGTGTTTTGTCTCCCGACTGGATCTAGACCGCGTGGAGGTGGACAGTTGTCGCAGGATGGGGCCATGCCTGGGAGTCAGCACTGGAGCTTAATAGCCCGGCGGATCTCCGGGCTGCGCCCCCCCCCCCCCCCGAGGATTCTGACTCCAAAAGCCCAAGATGGGCTCAGCCTAGTCTGTTCTGTATTTCCAGCAACAACCCCTGGGTTATTTGGATGCACGGCTGAGTTTGGGACTTAATGTGAAAGAGGTTTGCCAGGCCCCTGTCCGGACCCCTGACTTCACCCTCCTCCCCAGGGTAGGTGCCTCAGACCTCATCTGGACACTTCCAAGGTGGGGGGCTCAGTGCCCACGGAGCAGGCCTTCCTCACTGGGGGACAGTGCCTCTGCGGCTTGAGCTGAAGCCTGCCTCCCAGGAGAACCCCCCCTGGGGGTCTTGGTTCTGACCTTAGGGGTTGCATGACCTCCTTCGGTTTTCCACACCTGCTTCCCCAGGATGTGGGAAGGCGCTGCGTGCCCCGTCCTCACCGGTCTCCCTCCTCTCCTTCCTCCTGTGGTCTGGGCTCCCTTGCAGGCTGACAGCCTTATCTCACACTTTAAGTTTCTCATCAGGTTAGAGGCTTGGGAAGGCGGTAGAGATCGGATCGTGCGTTCTCCAGCAGCCCCACACTTCCCCGTTGGGGTGAAGGGGTCCCCCAACAGTCAGGGCCTGCATTCACCTTCCGTCAACCTGGCAGGGACTCACCCTTTCCCAGCCCGGGGGGAGGATCGTGCCCACGCGCGCACCCCGGATGGAGGCCAGTGAGCTGCGAGATATGGACGCCCTGGTGCTCGCTCCGCAGAGCTCAGTGGTAGGTAGGCCAGCTCTGGGTGGGTCACAATCTCAGCTCTCTCGTCTCTGGCTGTGCCTGTCATCACCGGGCTTCACCTTCCCAACCTGACTTTTGGAGAGCTTATCCTAACTGAGCTGTGGTGGGCTGGGGGGCAGCAGTATGCTTTAAAGCTTTCTAGGTGGAGGGCCGCCTGGGGGTGGCTTAGTCGGTCAAGGCTCTGACTCTTAATCTC